ACAACATGGAAATATGCTTAAGCAGAAGAGTGCTGTGATAGAATTGTGCACTAAAGTTTATTTTAATTATTGGTCAAATACCACTCTTTTTATCTTTGGTTTCATGAGTTTTAACATGAAGCTTAAATTCAGTTTATCAGTGAACATTTGGAATACAGCCCATTCATAAGTTGATCAGAGTGATTTATCCCCTTGGTGTAAAAGAAAAAATTAATAACAGACATTTTACTTTGATTTTTAAGGGATTTTTTCTTACCCAGGAAATAAAAAATTAACCGTAAAAGGCCTGACCAAAAAGCTTATCTGCAGCATTGTAAATTGTTTTTTTCAGGCCAGAAAAGGGTAATCAATAACAAAATCATTACATTGTGATTTAATGGAAAAAAGATGGTGGGCTTCTTTAATTTAAATTCAAGAGGTCTCATGGCTGTAGGGGGGTAGAGGGCCAAATCTCAAGAGTTACATTTTTTAAAAAAACGAACTGGTTGCCATACAGTTGATTCCAACTCACAGCGACCCTATTGAACAGAGTAGAACTGGCCAATAGGGTTTCCACGGAGCAGCTGGTGGGTTCAAACTGCTGACCTTTTGGTTAGCAGCCGTAGCTCTTAACCGCTGCGCCACTAGGGCGCCAATGCTAACTCAGTAACCATTATTTACTTGGTCACCATAGAAACTTCTGTTCATTCACACACAGACACACACACACACACAGACACACACAGACACACACAGACACACACACGCACACCAGCTCTGGTGGCATAGTGCTTAAGAGCTTGTCTGCTAACCAGAACATCGGCAGTTAGAATCCACCAGCTGCTCCTTGAAAACCCAATGGGGCATAGGGTCGCTATGAGTCGGAATCAACTTGACAGCAACAAGTTTGGGTTTTTTGGTTTTTATATATACATTTAAACTTCTGTGAAGTCTCAAATCCTGGGGAGTACTTCTTTTTCATTTTTTCTTCATGCATGGGAAACTCTCCATCCTCCAAATTGCAAAGTGTTTGTTGAATTATGAAACAATCAATTACTATAATATTGTTTTGAGCTAATTCAAAGTTTTATTTTTAACAGTTGTTACTAGCCTACTTTGGGCCACTTGTTTTTGGAGGCGAAATGATTTCCCTGCATGCATGACTACTCAGAATAAACCTTACGTTTCAATTTCTTTGAGTTTTGATTATTTTTTTTTTTTTAACACTGATAGCCCTCCTTTTCAGTGTTACGTGGTTGATACTTTATTATGAAGTGCAGGGTAAACCAACCTAAATTATACTATTCATTTGAGTTTACTTAGAGCTAAAACCTTATGTTTTTCTGGAGTATAATGTTTGCATTTCCTAGTTAAAGTACGGGAGGTTTTAACAGTAATACTTCTAGTTTAAGATCTCAACTGAATTGATTTGTAAAACATAAATTATTTTGTAATTTGGCTAAGCTTTTTAAAAATCATTATCAATGCAGATATGTTTACAGCAGTATTTATATGATATATAGAATGCTTTTCATGGGTGCTGATAAGGGAGGAGAAATGAAAATGGAGAAGATGGGAATTGGAGTGGTGGAAGGAAAAAATGTACAATCAGTATTGTTGATTTTTGTGAATACATAGTGTCTTAGGCTGGGTTCGCTAGAGAAGCAAAACCAGAGATGCGTGTATATATATATATATATATAGAGAGAGAGAGAATATTTATGTTATTCTTTTCTATAAAGAAAACCTTACTAATATAGGACTTAATGGGTGACTTTCTGACACCTCAGAAATGACTAACTGTAATGCTCACAGTTAGTATCTGTCACTGATGAGTTCTGCATGGTTAGTGATCATGAAAGTACCCTTATGTTTTAAGATGTGTTAGTAACCACGTTAATAATTTTGATAACCAAGAGGTATGTGTACATTTTGATGGCACAAAAAAGATATTTTGTAAAGGAACTGTAGAATTAAAATGTCCTTTTCCCACTTGTATGCAAATAATTATTAACTTTGAGGAAAGTCTAGTCTTTGGTGAAAAGTTATTACTTAGATTTACTTAGGAGCCCTAGTGGTGCAGTGGTTAGGTGCTAGACTGCTAACTGCATGATTGGTGGTTCAGATCTACCAGCCACTCTGCTGGAGAAAGATTTGGTGGTCTACTTCTGTAAAGATTTAGAGCCTTGGAAACCCTATGGGTAGTTCTGCTGTGTCCTGTACATTTACTTAGCATTTGGTTTTGATCACCATCTCTTGTGTTTGTTGAACACAAGTTACAAGTTCACAGTGCTAAAAGCCTGTGGTAAATTACCTTGCAAGTTAAGTGATTAACGTTTGGAACATTTTGCCTATGTAAATCCTGTCTCTGTGCATATATGTATTTATAGATCTCTGCTCATAGTTCTGTAGCACTACCTTCTAAAGCTTAGGGATAGCTTTACTTTATTACACAACTTATGAGTATATAAAAAGTCATTTGCAGCCCAGCACTGTGAAGCTTATTTTGTCCTTTGTCTTTTATTTACCTTTTAGTAATAAAGTAAAATCTTACTTGGCTTTTCTTAATAGGTCTTAAGTTCAATTTTAAGGAGTACTGGTGGCGCAGTGGTTAATTAAGTGCTTGCCTGCTGACCAGAAGGTTGGTGGTTTGAACCCACTAGCTGCTCCCTGGGAGAAAGATGTAACAATGTGTTTCTGTAAAGATTGACAACCTTGGATACCCTGTGGGGCAGTTCTACTTTGTCCTATAGGGTCACTATGAGTCAGAATTTGACTTAATGGAAAAGGATTTGGTGTTTGTTTTTAATAAGTTCAATCTTCAGGAAAGGTTTTCTGAGTTTTAGATTCTGTCAAGTGCTTTTATATATGAGAGGACAGAGGGAAGATAGACAGTTTGAGGTCTTGGACTTTGAAGAAGGGCCTTTTGGTTATATATTTTCCTTTTGTTACCTTTTGATTTAGCCTAAAGCTTGAAGTCTTTTCTTTTTTATTTTATTTTTTCCGACTATGAAGGAAACAGTGGTGTCATAAATAGTGCTGTAATAAATAATGATTGGTAAATGGTTTACACGTTAGTTTTATTTATTATTTGATCCATTGGCAATACTTGGTAGAATTAAAATCAGGCCTTATCTTTTTACACAGAGACAGTTTGATGGACTGTTTTTACTTTTATGGAAATAGGTTAATCTGAGCTTTGTTTAATATAATGATTACCTCCCCTCTCTTCTTCCATACACACAGTTAGGGAAGAATGTAGTAGTTGGCAAAGAATGGCTTTGGGGAAAGTCTTTATGCCATTCCTAAAACTGAAAGGGAAATTTTTTAATATTATGAACCTTTCAGAAAAAAAAATACATGCCAAGTTTCCGATTTACCCCCCTTTGCCTAATTTCTCTGAGTGATGGTCTAAGAGTTTCATAGTCATCTGAGTACTCTGAAAAACGTTCAGGACCTGTTTAAGTGATGAGTGACTAGTACATTGAAAGACTGTTAAAAGTTTCTGAAGCAGACAAAGCATTAGTAATTGCTTTCAGGGTCAGTCTGTGTTTAGTTGGACCATGAAGGATTTAACCTGGAACTGTGGCAGCTCGTCTGCTGAGTGGAGACTGGTGTGTTTAAGAAAGGCTGCTGTCTGATAGACTAGACCTTTTCAGGTTGCCCCAGTTTACGGGAATTTAATCATATTTCTGAGTGTGACACAAATGATACTTGTAAGTGGACTTGAAGGCAAAAATATTTGACCTTATAATGGGACGTAGGAAATGTTCATACAGTTCTCTAAATTTTCCTTTTTAAATACGAGACAGAATATTTTGCTATTTGAAGTATCAGTTAAAAGGTATACTTAATAGAGTTATTTTTAAGAGCTGAGTAAACAGCATGCCTGTCTTTAAATAAATTAAAATTTTTTTAATGATTTTCTTCTTTTAGATTTATTTGTCCCTTAAAGCGGTAGGGTATCAATGACAGTATTAACATAGTTGAAACCTATACCATGGACTTAGGGCGGTGCTATTAATTCTGATGTTCAAAATTCTTAATGTTCTAGGTAGAAGTGTGAATGAAATTAATACTGGTTACTGGGACTTTGTGATAAAAAATGAAAGAGTTACTAGCTTGGTGGTTGTTATGGACTGAATTGTGTCCCCCCAGAAATGTGTGTCAACTTGGCTAGGCCTTGATTCCCAGTATTGTGTGATTGTTCACCATTTTGTCATCTGATGTGATTTTCCTATGTATTTTAAATCCTACCTCTGTGATGTTAATGAGGCAGAACTAGGGGCAGTTATGTTAATGAGGCAGGACTCAAACTACAAGATTAGGTTGTGTCTTAAATCAATCTCTTTTGAGATATAGAAGAGAGAAGGGAGCAGATAGACAGGAGGACCTCATACCAAGAGAGCAATGCTGGGAGCAGAGCATGTCCTTTGGACCCTGGGCTCCTGCGCTGAGAAGCTCCTAGACCAGGGGAAGATTGATGACAGGGACTTCCCTCCAGAACTGACAGAGAAAGCCTTCCCCTGGAGCTGGCACCCTGAATTTGGACTTCTAGCCTCCTAAACTGTGAGAGAACAAACTTCTCTTTGTTAAAGCCATCCACTTGAGGTGTTTCTGTTAGCAGCACTTGATGACTAAGACAGTGGTGAAATATATTTTTGCTAAAGTAGGAATCTGACTACTATAGAATTTTAGATTTTAGGGTTGTTCCTGCTTTTTCAAATTGAGATGAAATTTTCTCTTCAAAAGTTTATGTTAATAATAGAAATTTTTCATAGTAAGTACTTTTTTCACAGAACTACTATTACCTTGTAAAGTTGAAAATATTCAAAATGGGAAACTTTTTTGGACAGAGGGTGGAAAAATGGTAAAGTGATAGATTTCTAAAATACAGTATGACTTTTCATTGATTATTACTCTGAAAATGTGTCATTTCACACATGATGTATTTTTATTCTGTTCTGGCAAATAAAAGTTCTTTTAGTCTTAAATGTATATTTTCTTTTTCCCCTGAACAGATTTATGAAAATATGCATCAGTTTAATACTGTCTTGGAATTCATGAGGTGGAAGCATAGGTCAAAGCTGTTTGGAGAAAATTGGAAGTACAGTTTTATCTAGCCACATCTCTGAGGTAAGGAAAAGACTATTTTTAGAAAGATACGAAGATTCTCATTTTCTAACAATTGAAAATAATCCTTCTATATCACCACTGCAAAATAAACTGGTTATAAAATAGTATAATGCCACAACTTTATTTTGGCTTCTTTAGTTTTTTTTTAATCACGTTCCTTATAAGTTTATAAGTAATTCTAATATATTTCCCCCTCCTAATAAATATTGGATCTCTTCAGTAGCAAGAAACATTTATTTCTTACTAATAACCCTTTTCTTTACCATAAGTGTAGAAAATAAGCATTGAATGATTTATATTTCTTCCCTCTAAAGATTACGGAGTTCAAAATGAAAGATTATATTAAAAATGAGTTTTCACATTATTCTGAAATTTTCACACATTTTAGAATTCAGGATCTTAGAATACTAGATCTTTGGAGATAACAATTTGTTTTAAAAAAAGGAACTGCAGTAAAGCAGGAATAGGGGAAAAGTAGCCATTCTAAGACAACACATAGTGAGAAATCAAGTTTGTTACTTTCAGGTCCATTTAGACGCTCAGGTTATCAGGTAAAAGATTTAAATTCTTCAGGGATCTGCATTTTAAAAACTAGATAGGGCGTGCAGTTTTATGAAGTGGTTTGTGCTTCCACATCTTGATATAGTAGGCTTTGCTCACTACTTCTGCTTCCTTACATCATTCACTCGTCCTTTTTCTCCTGGCAAATGACTGCATTTGCACTTCTGAAAAATATCTGACTTTTTAAATTGTTCATTAGTTTTCATACTCTTTGATTTCTATAGTAGTTGCCGTTTTTCATTTCTTGAAATTCTGTTTCCGTGACGCTGTGCTCTTCTAGTTCTACTTCTGAATTACTCTTTCAGTCTCTTTTCTTTTTCACCTTCCTCTTAAATAATGACCTTCACCAAGGTTTTATCTTTGATATTCTTCTGTTTTTTCTTTATATCTTTCCTAATCTCCCGATTTCAACAATTACTCCTAAAATGATCTCCCTTCTCTCTAGTTGTGACATTTTCTCTAAGTTTCAGACACATATTTTCAACTGCTTGCCAGATGGCTTGAGTTGTTAATACCTCAGACTTCCCATTATCTGCCAATTAAATCATTGTGTGCTTCACATGCAACGGTCTCCTCTTCTGTTAATGGACCTCTTTGTCACCCAGTCTCAAAATTTCAGTGCTATATCTGATTCCTCATCTTTTGCTTCCAACACTTAATGAGAGGCCAAGTCCTGTCAGTTTTACCTTATTATAATGTTTCATCTTCTCCTTTCCAACACCCCTCCACCCTCCAGTTTATAGTATAGTTGGTAAGATATGTGTATATGTAATAATAACGAACACTGTTAGGCAAAAGTGATGGATACCACAGGAATAAATTAATACTTATAGTCAGAGTTATATAACTTTTGGGAAGTAGATAAAACAAAGATGAGGTTATTTGAGCTGGGCTTTGAAAGGTTAGTAGAATTTAGATAGGTCAAGAAAGAATTAAAGGATATTTCTAGAAAAACTGATTGATAAAAAAATATGTGTTGGAGTGTATTGGAGGTCTTGGACATGAAGAAAATTGTATTTTAGGAAAATTATTAATGACATATGTTCATTAGAGAAATGGAGTGAGGAGGCAAGGAGCCTCGTTAGAAAGTTCTTACATTCATTAGACATGAGGTAATCAGAATTTAATCAGAGTGGTAGTCATGGAAATAGAGAAAAAAAAAAAAGACTTAAGGGAATAGGTATTGTTAAGGAAGAGATACTGATTTTTTTTTTCTTTTTTTAATTTTTTTAATTGTACTTTAGGTGAAGGTTTACAGAACAAGTAGTTTCTCATTAAACAGTCAGTACATATATTGTTTTATGACATTGGTTAACAACCCCACGACATGTCAACACTCTCACCTTTTGACCTTGGAGGACTTTTTTTTTTTTTGGTGAAAATATACATAGCCAAA